CTTCCGCCTCGTGGGCGGCGGCCTCCCGTTTCAGCGCGGCGGCACCCGCCGGCGCAGCTCGGCCTCGCCGTGCGCCCTCCTCCTGGCGCCCCCGGGACTGCCGGGGCGCTGCTGCCTCGGTCGGCTACACGTAAGAGTGACCCTTCGCCGGAGTGCCCTCCTCCGCCTCCTCCTCCTCCTCCTCGCTCCTCCTCCTCCTCGCTCCTCCTCCTCGCTCCTCCTCCTCTTTCTCCTCCTCCTCCTCCTCCTCCTCGCTCCCCTCCTCCTCCTCCTCCTCGCTCCTCCTCGCTCCTCCTCCTCCTCCTCCTCCTCCTCCTCCTCCTCCTCCTCCTCCTCCTCCTCCTCCTCCTCCTCCTCCATCGCCGTCGCCTCCAGCTCTCTTCGTCCCTCCGATCGCCGAGCGCGATGTGATGCAAGCGGCCCGCGCCCTTGGGTTTGGCTCCCTCGCGCCCCCCAAGAGCTGCGCACCAAAGGTCACTCGTACCCAGGGTCACTCTTGCGCCTAGCCGACTGGGGCGCTGGGCCCGCCCGCGGGAGCGGCCCGAGCGAACAGCGCCGACGCCGCGGAGGCGGATGCGGGCCGAGGCGCTCCTGAGGCCCAGGCAGGATCGGATGCTGCACGTCACTCCTGCGTGCGTAGCAGCACTTGACACGCACGCACACACACAGGAACGGACATACTGAGCACCCAACCCTTGCGGAGAAGAGCGAGGGGACCCGGAAGGAAGCCCCCTGCTGCCACGCACGCCCAGGGATCATACAAGTCCGTTCGCACCCCCATGGTGATAAATGACATGTGACAGCTTCATACATACAGCTATATAAGCAGACGTATATCCATACACACAGATCCATCCTTACACGTACACATTATTCATGTATAGACACGCATACGCTCATATTCATCAAGCGGTGCTTGCACTGAGGGGTTCCAAGTTGTTTTTCTAAGGCATCTGGGGTCGCGGAGTGGTCCGGCGGCCATGTCGTCGACGTCGCTGCTTCGTCGCCGCCCGTCGCCTGGGCCTGCGAGCCTGCTTGGCGTCTATGCTGCCGCTGCCGGCGCCTCGTCGTCGCCCCAGCGGTCTGGGCTTGCTGGTCGGTCTAGCGGCCATGTTGCCGGCGCCGCCCTGTCGCCGCCTCGTCGCCGTCACGTCGCCGCCGGTCGCCTCCTCGCCGCTGCTAGTGTCATGTCGGGCCGGTCCCTCTACAGGAGGAACATTCAAGAATAGTATAAAAAATATTCTGGGGACGACTTTTGATTATTTTTGCCCTTTGGGTTTTTTTGGGTACTTTTCATTTTTCGCCCAAAATCCCCTTTTTAGGGGGACACGCCCGACTTAATGCTAGTGGCTTTCAGATGTTGCTTAACGCAGCTGGCACCACACATCTTGTACCGTACCGCGTCACAGAAGTAGCCCCGCATAATGAGCTCAACACCAAATACACCTACCTCGCTACGTAGCTTACACAACACAGGTCGCGCCACGTAGCTTGCACAACAGGTATTCTATTTTCCAAGAAGGCGTTCGGATTACCAGCCCCGACCCTCCAAGATGGTCCACCCCTCTTTTGATAGTGCAATTTACATACGACCCAGTCCCTTCGTTCATTTGCAGCTGATATCATACGATCCCAGCCGAGCTGGACTCAACCCCCTCTCATCACAGACAAATAATTCTACGCGTTCGCACCCGTCTTTCAAACGGAATCGATTTCCTAAGGATCCTTTTGCAAAAAGTGCGGCACAGTCCACACGCGTCTGGCGTCGTGCGCGGATGCCCAAATCTACAAAAAACAGTGTTTTCGTGGGAGTTTCAAGACAAACATGTGTTTCCGATTTTGGTGATCCAAGACTTGTGACTACCAAAAGTTTGCGCGCGCGTCTTTGCGATTTTTTACGGGTTGCACCACAGTAAGATGGCACCACTTGTGTTGCCCCACACAAATTACATCACATGTTCTAGAAACAGCGTTTTGGGGCCCAGTCTGTTTCCATAGACATATGTATATACATATATACACAGACATATGTAAACACATTTACATGCTAGGAACTATTCAGGTGTATAAGGATGAACAGGAGATCGAGGCATAATTCGGCAACGCTTACGAGCCACGCGTCGATACAGTCCATGTGGATACCTTTTTCGATTGGGACACCCGGTCGCAGACAATGTGCCTCAGCATTGCCGATCCCTTGCCTGACCTTTGCGATCAAGGGCGTCTTTTTTGAACGGTTCGGGGCGGCATCGAACGGACTTGCTTGGCCATGCTCATCCGCCTGGTGAGGCCATTCCGCTGTCAGGATGCTTACGCCGCCATCATTTTCATACCCATGGGTGGGTGTATGTCCCGCCGCTTTTGTGCTGGCGCGTCCGTGCGTGTGCGCGGCATGTGTTCGGCATGTGTCGGGCATGTTCGGGCCGTGTGGGTTTCATGTTATATTGTGCATGCGTGCCCGGGCATGTGCATGGTTATGTGTGCTGTGTTTGGTGCGTCGTTTGTCTGCGCAGGCCCACACATGCCAGCGCACATGCCAGCACATGCTTGCATTCGCGGGCACTGTGCGATTATTGCAGATCCGCCGGAGGCGCATGCACGCACATGCCTGTGCAATCCTCATGCGGCCGCGCGGGCGCAAACATGCACCCCCACGCGTTGAAACGCGCGTCCGCACATGCTCGCACACGCCGACGCACATACCCGCACATGCTTTCGGAACTGTCAGGGGTCCCTAGAAGAGCGTCCAGTGCCTGGTGATTTTCGCCGTGTTTCCTTGGGCTTGCCGGTGCTTCCCAGAGGCTTCCGGCGGCCATGGGGGAGCCGGTGCCGCACATATTGGGAGAGCCTGCGCGCTTGACTCGCCCACTGCTGCTGGGAGCGGCTCTTCGCCCGCGGGTCACGTCCATGTGCTTCAACTCTTTGTCGTCGTCCAGTGGCCGCGCTGAGCTTGTTGGCGCTACCCGTTGGAGTCTCTCTCACGCGAGCCTGTTCGGTCCGGCCCGAGGAGCGGGAGGGGGAGGGGGCGAGGGAGTAGGGCGGAAAAGGATTTTCACGGATGGTGGTGGGGAGTAGAAAGAGGGGGAGGACAGGGAGGAGGACGAGGAGGAGCAGACGCTCGCAAGTCGAATCCCGGAGGTGTTGCCCCACGGTGGTCCGGCCAATTTCCTTTGAAACATCCTCGCAATTCCTGGGTGCCGAGGTGTCCTGACTTCAGGTGGGCATGCTCCTTTCGCCTGGGACATCCTCGGAAATGTGCGTTCCGGCGCTCCCCGAGCCGAGGCGGGCGGCATTGAGAATCGAGATTCCCTGAGGTGGCCGAGCCATTTTCCTTTGATGTATCTTCGCTGCCTCGACTTCGGACACGCCTTGCCCCATGATGGTCCAGCCGCAGTTGCTGGGGACATCTTCGCAGCTAAGAGTTTCGAGGTGCCGTAAATTCAGGCGGTCAGGCCACTTTCGCCTGCAACTCTGACTTCGGAAGCGTCAAGTTCCGAGATGCCCTGAGGTGGCCCGGCCAATTTCGCCTCGACCGTCCTCGCAACGTTGCGTTCCGATACGCAATGAACTGACGTGGTCGATGGCATCCGAGCGCTTGCCACAGCCCTGTGTTCGATCTGTGTTGTCGCCCGCCGCGTCCACAATTTGGGCATTGTGTTGCAGCTCGAACGCCAGCCACATCCGTTTCCGTCGCTGTCCTTGTTCCTTCTTTCTTCCATGTCTACATATGTGTGTGGATCTTTGTGGTAATTCGTCCCCCACCAGCGCTTCCCGACAGAGCATCGGACTGTGTGGTATGTGGTCACATGTCCGGCATATGTGTTGAAACGTCATGCGAGGTTGCGTGGACATGTGCATTCGAATGTGCTGCATGTGCGTGCCTGCGCGGCCCTTTGCGGACTCCAGAACGAGAGTGGGCAATGTAAGAAATAACACCATATCGTTGATTCCGGCGTCCGTCAGCCAGCAAAATCCATTCATATATGGCTGTGGGCATGGGCGTTCATGCGCATGGCCAGCCAATGCCTGCCTTCATTGTTTTCGTTTGCGACGTTTCTTGATGATCGCGCTGCTCACCAGAGGATGGGGTTTTCGGTGCACTGATATCGCGCCCCCGCATCCCCGTACTCCTGACCCCATTGTTTGGCTTCTTGTGTCTTCTCTGTGCATCCTTTTCCGTCGGTTGTTTCCTCCCCAATATTTTTTCATTATCCCCCTTTTCCCCTCTTGTCGTTATCTCTCTGTCTCTCTCTTTTTCTGTTTCTCTTTCTGTTTCTGTCTGTCTTTTATTGTGTTTCTCTCGTTCTTTATTTTTCTCCCCCTCCTCGTCCTCTTTCATTGTTTTTCTCTTTGTTCCCTTCTCCTTCCCTTCTTCCCGAATTCGTTTCATATCCTTCTCTCGTTGACTCTCTCTCTTTCTCTCTGTCCCTCTTTTCTTGTGTCTCCCACTCTCTCTCTCTTCTCTCTCTCTCTCTCTCTCGCTCTCTTTTGTTGGTTCTCTCTCTCTCTCTCTCTCTCTCTCTCCATACATGTCTCTTTCCATTTATATATGTATATATATATAGGGTTATCAGTATCTCTCTTCCTTTCCGTTTCTCTCTCTCTCTCTCTATTGTTCCATCTCTCGGTATATTTATGTGTATATATATGACGTAATGTGTTTGTGTGTTTGCCCCTTTCTCTTTCTCTCTTTCGTTGCCCCCCCTTTGTTGTTTCTCTCGCTCTCTCTCTCTCTCTTTCTCTAGTTTTTGTGTTGTTCTCTTTCCCTCACTCTCCCTCTCGCTCTGTCTCCTCTCGCTCCATGTTGGTTTTGTCTTGTTTTCTCTCCCTCTCTCTCTCGTTCTCTCTTCCTGTCCCCCTCCCTCCTCCTGATCCATATACATATATATATTTATATACATATATATATATATATATATGCATCCTTTATCCCCTTATGCTCCTCTTCATCCTCGTCCCATTCCTCCTTCTTCCCTGCTGCCCCTCTCCCATCATGCCAGGAGAGACTGGTGGAAACGTTCGGCATCAGCATCGAGCTTCTGCGGCACCAGGCAAAGGCCCCGAGGGACGCCGAGGATTTCGCCAGGAAGATGCTGGAAGGCTCCTGGGCACCTGGGCGGTGCACGTGCAGCTAGCTCATGGTGGCGTTGACGACGACAGCGGCGCTAATCATGATAATAATGTTGATGTAGATGATGATGACGATGACGATGCCGATGCTGCTTGTTCTGATGATGAGGATTGTGATGATAATGATGCTGGTGATGTTGGTGATGATGATGTCGATTACGATGATGTTGGTGATGATGATGGAGATGACGATGATGCTGATGTTGATGATAATGCTGAATATGATCCTTATGATTGTGATGCTAATCGTGATGATGGTGATGACAATTATGATAATGTTGTTGATGATGGGGATGATGAAGATGACGATGCTGTTGATGATGAGGATGAGGATGAGGATGAGGATGAGGATGATTACGATGCTGATGGTGATGATGGTGATGATGGTGGCGGTGATGCTACTCATGACTATAAGCATGATAATGTTGACCATGATGGTGATGATGATGATAGCGATGGTGATGATGGTGCTGATGGTGCTGATGGCGACGATGATGACGGTGATGGCGATGGTTGATGGCGGCGTTGATGTCGTTAATGATAGTGATGCTGGTGATGTTGAGTGTAATGATGATGATGTTGATGATGGTGTTGCTGATGCTGGCGGTGGTTGTGATTATTGTTATGGTGATGATGGTTATGCTGATTATGCTGATGATGGTGATGCTGATGATGGTGATGATATTGATGATGATGATGATGATGGGTTGGTGGTGCTGGTTGATGATGAGGATGGGTTGGTTGATGGGATGACGGATGATGACAGTGACGATGTGAACGCCACTGAATTGGAGCTGTGGGTTCCTTGGATCAAGAGGGCCACACGTGCAGCTGAAGCAGCGATGTCACGACTGCGGATCAACGACCGGGTCTATACAGTGCAGCACAGGAGATGGCAATGGGTACGGAAGTTGAGTACAGCAGGAGAGCACGAATGGATTCGACAGGTAATTCTTTGGAAGCCACAACATGACCCCGCATATCATGCGAGACGGAGGACAGGACGACCCAGAACCAGATGGATCGATGACGTCAAAAAGCATGTCGAAGATACGATGGGGTGTGACGACATTGGCGTCGACGGATTTTTGGCAAGATATGGGGTCGCACTTTCGGTCGCACCTCTCCGACTCCAGCCCCTCTTTTGTTCCGACTCCGGCTCGCACCTCTCCGACTCCAGCCCCCCAGCCATTGTCATCTTCTCGGCTCTTTCCGACTCCGGCTCCGTTACCGACTCCGACTCTTTCCGACTCCCGCTTTTACCGCTCCGACTCCGGCTGTTTCTGAGCGGCCAACCCTTATCGGCGCCTCGGCGCCCACCCGCCGCACCCCTCGTAGGTGCCTCGGCGCGGGCTCTGTCTGTCTGTCTGTCTGGTTATGATGATGGCGACAATGACAATGATGCTGATGATAATGATTATGACGACGATGATGGTGATCATGATATTTGTGATGATGACGATGTTGATGATGTTGATGATGATGATGATGATGATGATGATGATGATGATGATGATGATGATGATGATGATGATGATGGTGATGGTGATGGTGATGTTGATGGTGATCGTGGTGGTTGTGGTGATGACGATGATGATGATACTGATGATGGCAATGATTATGATGATGGTGGTGACTGTGATGTTGCTATCGGTGATGGTGATGATGAGGGTGGTGGTGGAGGTGCTGGTGGTGGTGATGGTGATTATGTGGGCGCTGGTGGTGGTGGTGGTGGTGAGGAGGAGGAAGAGGATAGGAAGGAGGGAGAGAGAGGGGGGGATGCGTGGGAGAAAGAGGTGGAGGAGGAGGAGGGAAGAGCAGGAGGAGGAGGAGGAGGAGGAGGAGGAGGAGGAGGAGGGGAAGGAGGAGGATGGGGGGGGTTCACGATGATTGGAGCCCTCACCACTCCAGCATCCTTCCATCAAAAGAGCATCGAGGGCTAACTCCGAGCCAGCCGTGGCCTCTGACAGTTGGGAGGGATCCAGCCCCGTTTCGGTCAAGATGCTGGAACAATGAATATTGTGTGGTTCTGCAGGAGCTCTGGCTTTCGGGCTGTTCCTTGGATTCCTCTCGCTCTGCAGGGTTCACGTCCGGAGCGCGAACAGTGAGGTCGTTGCGGGTTCTCCTCGGAGGTCTCGGGGGGCCTTTTGGATGCTTCTGCAGGGTCTCTTGTGTCAGTTCGACTCCTCCTTTGGGGCCCCTTTGGGGGCCATCTTGTGTCGTCTTCGGCCCCTCTGGGACCGTCTTGGGACTTTTCTGGGCCAACTTGAGGCCCCTTGGGCCGTTTTTGGGCGATCTTGTAGACATCTTGGGTCGTGTTGGAAATGTATGCTTTCCTTCGGTAATGCGGCATCTTTGGGTCCTCTTGCGGGTTCTCTTGGAGCTCTCTGAGGCTGTTTTAAGCCTCGTCGAGTGGATATAAGCCGTCTTGGAAGCATGTGGAGATTCGGATCTTCTAGGGCCAATCTGATTTTTTGGAGGCCTCCAGGGCCGTTTTAGAGTAACAAGAGGCCTGGAGTAGCCCCCCCCAGGTGGCCGGCCTCATCTTTACTGGGGGGATAATGTTGCAGCTCATTCAGTGCACGTAGTTGTTATTGCAGTGTATGCCGCGCAGCATATGTAGCAGCGCGCGCAGCTTTGTAAGCTGGCGCAGCGCATGCAGTGTCATTTCTTGGGTACCGCCTGCCCTTTCGAGGGCCGCTCCTCCGGGAGCCGGCGCACAGGCAAAACTGAACAGAATTGGGATGACCCCCCCCCTTGTCGGCTTCTTGATGATGATCGTGATGAGTATAGTGATGATGATGATGATGATGATGATGATGATGATGATGATGAGGAGGAGGAGGAGGAGGAGGAGGAGGAGGAGGGGAAACGTAAGACTCGAGTAAGCCGGAACTCGGGTTTTCCGACAGTCCGGTTTTCGTGGGAGGTTCCAGCGTGATTTCATTGCCTGCTGCCTTGTCCCCATCGGACTCAGGATCGCAGTTCTGGGCTCGGCGGGGCGGATTTGATGGGCGAGGGGACGGAACGCACACGCCCGGAGCCCACGAAGCGGTCGGCGGAGCCGTGGCTGAGGCTCCCCGAGGCTAGAAGAGCTCCTTCGTTCCTCGTCTGGCGCTCCTCGTGGCTTCCTCCTGCTGCTCCTCCTCTTCCTCCTCCTCCTCCTCCTCCTGCTCCTCCTCTTACTCTCCCCCCTCTCCCCTCCTCCCTCCCCCCTCCTCCTCCTTCCTCCCTCCTCCTCCATCTCCTCTTCTCTCCCCTTTCCTCCTCCTCCTCCTCCTCCTCTCTTCCTGCTCCTCCTCTTACTCCTCCTCCTCCTCCTCCTCCTCCCTCCTTCTCCCTCCTCTCCTCCTCCTCCCTCCCCTCCTCCTCCTCCTCCCTCCTCCTCCTGCTCGTCCTGCTCGTCCTGCTCCTTCTGCTCCTCTCCTCCCTCCTCCTCTTCCTCCTTCTCCTCTTCCTCCCTCCTCCTCCTCCTCCTCCTCCTTCTCCTCCTCCCTACCTGGATGCGACGCATGGCCCCCCCCCCTCCAGGATGCGACGCATGGCGCCAACCCCCTTTGAGAGTGGCCGCGTGGGGGCCGAGGCGAGGAAGGGATCTGCGGAGGAAGAGGTACCCATGCCGCCACCCTTCCGCCGGTTTCCCCTTTTTGGGGGGGGCCTCCTGGTAGGCCCTCGTCGCCGCCGCTGGATTCGCCTCGGGGTCTCGGTTAGACCGCGCCCCTGGAGAGGTCCCGGAAGGAGCGGCATCAGTGCCTCTAGGGATGCTTCCCTCGGTCGCAGGCGAGGGGGGCCGCTCCTCCCCCCCGCCATCCCGGTGGGGAGCCTTGGGGTGCGTGCGCGGGTTCTCTCTCGTGAGCCTCCCGCCTTCACGCACCTCGTCCTCCCCATCCCTCCTCGTCCTTCCTCCTCCTCATCCTCATCTTCCTCCTCGCCATCCTCCTCCTCTTCCTCCTCCTCCTCCTCCTCCTCCTCCTCCTCCTCCTCCTCCTCCTCCTCCTCCTCCCCCTGCGACGGAGGCGAATACTGGGGGGTCGGGAACGAGCACCACAAGATGGCGTTCCGCGAGAACCTCAAGGACGAGCTGCAGAAGCAGGCGGGGTTGGCGCCGGGGCACCCCCTTTGCGTCTGCTGGAGAGGTGCTGTTGCTGCTGCTGATGATTGTGATGCTGATGCTGCTGCTGATGATGCTGATGCTGATGCCGATGCTGATTATCCTGCTGCTGCGGCTGCTCATGCTGATGATGCTGCTGCTGATGATGCTGGTGGTGATGATGATGATGGTGATGCTACTGAACATGGTAGTGATGGTGGCATGCCGCTGCTGATGATGGTGATGGTGATGGTGGTGGTGATGATGATGCTGCTGATGATGATGGTGACTATGATGGTGGTGACACTGATGCCGATGATGAGGATGTTGATGATGTTGCTGCTGTTTGTGGTGGTGATGGTGGTGGTGGTGCCGAGTGTGATGTTGATGATGGTGAGGGTACTGATGCTGATTATGCTGATGCTGCTGATGATGATGGTTGTGGTGATGATGATGCTGCTGATGCTGCTGATGCTGCTGCTGATGATGATGCTCTTGATGGTGGTAGTGATGATGCTGATGTTGATGATGATGATGATAGTGATGAGAACGAGTATGGTGGTGATGTTAAAATGACGCTGATGATGATTGTGATGGTGGTGGTGGTGATGGTGGTGATGATGATGATGGTGGTGGTGGTGGCGATGATGATGGTGATAATGATGCTGATGCTGAGGATGTTGATGATGTTGCTGCTGTTGGTGGTGATGATGATGGTCACGCTGATTGTGCTGTTGATAATGGTTGTGAGTATGGTGATGCGGATGGTCATGATGATGT